AAAAGAAGAAAATAATGTGTGGGTGAATATTTGAGTCGTGGACCACATTATAAGTGAGGTGCAAGCATAAAAAGTTAGGCCCATTTAGCAAAAAATGCATTTTTGAGCACATTTGACTTTTGGTAATTTCTCAAAAAGGGTCAACTTTGACAAGGCATAGCTCCTCCAATTTTAACCCTAGATAGGTGTTCTTGGACTTTTTAGAAATCTTAGGATGTCCCCTAAGCAACCCCTTTGGTCTTAATTGAGTCTTCCATGTTCATGTCAGGAGCTTTGACCCAAAAGGTGTTTTTGATGACTTTTCAAAAGGACCCATAATGTAGAAATTCATATCTTTTTGTGGGTGCATATTTTGAACTTGTGGGATGAAGATGAGCTATAGGGAATTGCATCCTATTCAAAATTAGCTTTGGATGGAAAATTTCTAATAAAGCATGTGGAAGTTATGCTTGGTCAAAGTTTGGTTGACTTTTACTGAGAAACCCTAAATTAGCAACTTTTGGGTTTTGGTGAATTTGGAGCATTCCTTGGGGAATCATGATCAACCCTTAATCAAATGATGAAATTAACTTCAAAATGTTAATGTTGACCAAAAATATTGAAGTTTGACTGTATGTGGGTCACAATTGACTTTTGACCTAATATAGTCGATTCTCAAGCATCTGAGCAGTTGATTGAGCAAACTTCTTGTGCAAGGCGTGAAACATGACATGTAGGGTCTTGAGAACATATTAAGACCATGGAGAGCATATGAGTCCTTTGTGGTTCACCCATCTTGATGAAAATGGAAACCCTAATTTGAGGTATACTGCCTTAGGAGAGAGTTTGTCTGGTTCACTCTTAGGCAACCTTGAACAAATTGAAGATCTTGATGGACATGTATTGAGTAAAATGAGAGGGAAAATTTTGGGGTACAACAGTTGTCCCTATTCAATCTTCTTAAACCTGAGGATGTAGATTGGCTAGCCTGCCTTTCGTGATCTAAAGGTGGAAATGATTGAACACTAGAGTGCCTAGAAATTTGCACTCGCATGAAATGGCACTTAATTTTTTATATCGGGAATGGACTTACAAATGCCATTTGGAGGTCGATAAAAGAAGATTGTCGGAGATGGGCTTAAAGATGCCATCCTGGATGCTACGGAGAATTGTAGGAGATGGGCTTAAAGATGCCATCTAGAGAATGTTGATTTCCTGAGACATTCCTTCGATGAGAGTTCCTGTTGCTGTCGTTGATGAGGAATCTGCTAAGGATTGTTGGTATCTTCCTTGGGAGAAATAGAATTTTAGGAGCTTCAGTTGTCCGTTACTCTATTGGGGAAATAACTCTTGCTTGAGGAAACGGAATTGAACTGCATATCCGGATGATGTACAGGTTGTACCACGACTTACTGGGGAAATGCGAAACCAATCGTGTTTGATCAGGTCCTGGTCTTACAGTGTTGTAAACTGTTGTCTGGAGATAAGAGAGAAGGAACCTGGATAGTAAGGTTATGAGAAGGAACCTGGATAGTAGGGTTGCTTCGATATGAAAGCCTGGATAGTAGGGTTGTGAGAAGGAACCTGGATAGTAGGGCTACTTCGATATGAAAGCCTGGATAGTAGGGCTGTGAGAAGTAACCTTGATAGTAGGGTTACTTCGATATGAAAGCCTAGATAGTAGGGTTGTGAGAAGGAACCTGGGTTGTAAGGTTACTTCGATATGAAAGCCTGGATAGTAGGGCTGTGAGAAGGAACCTGGATTGTAGGGTTACTTCGATATAAAAGCCTTGATAGTAGGGTTGTGAGAAGGAACCTAGATAGTAGGGTTACTTCGATATGAAATCCTGGATAGTAGGGTTGTGAGAAGGAACCTGGATAGTAGGGTTACTTTGATATGAAAGCCTGGATAATAGGGCTGTGAGAAGGAACCTGGGTCGTAAGGTTACTTCGATATGAAAGCCTAGATAGTAGGGTTGTGAGAAGGAACCTAGATAGTAGGGTTACTTCGATATGAAAGCCTGGATAATAGGGCTGTGAGAAGGAACCTGGGTCGTAAGGTTACTTCGATATGAAAGCCTGGATAGTAGGGCTGTGAGTGAAGGAAAATTGCGATCAAAAGCGCAGCGGAATTTAAAATTTTCCTTTAGCGATCCTTACGAATCAGCATGGTCAGTGATAGAAATATTTACCTCTTGTGGCGATTCAGACCTTTGATGTTGTGATTAAGAGCGTTGATGAAGAACAACGCCTCTACTCAGTCCACACGAACAGATCACTTCCGGTCACAGTGCTAGCTGATCACGAACGGAAACCTTGAGTGAGAGAGAGAATCAAAAATGAAATTGCATCAAGTGAAATTGCTTCATCACAAGGGATCTATTTATAGAATCACTCGTGTGGGCTACAAGCTAAAAGCCCAATTAAGGCTATAAGCTAAAAGCCCAATTAAGCTTATGGACATCATACCTTATGATGTACCATATATCACTTATCCACGTGGTACCTTACCACTTTCCGTATTACACTTAAGTGCACCGTACCTTACGGTGTTCCTTATTTATTCTATCTCTCATCAACCTGTCCTTATGTGTGTGACCCTGTAGGTTTTCGCGACGTTGGCAATTATATTAAATCACACATTTAATATAATAAACAGTGAGCGGTATCTAGCAACACATCACTATTACCCAAGTCACGAAAATGTCATGTGATCTGACCAAACCTTTTCCGTGATAATATTTGTGTTGTACAATTACCCTTTTGCCCTCATGTCTATATTGAACACAAGGCATACACTGTGTCACCCTTGTCCAGTTCAATATTGGGCCCTTAGACATTTATCCTGTTATGCAGGATGAGCAAATTCCATCTAGGTCACTCATGTCCCTTAGCATGTTTTGTGAAGTACCCATTAACCGTCTTTATAGTCATCCAGTTACGGATGACGTTTGATCAGCAATAAATTACTTGACTCTACATCTAAGGTCCATAGTGGTTTCAAGTCGAAGGGTGGTATACACCATTATCATCATGAGAATAACTTATGACACTTTGCATAACATTCTATGTAGTATTCTCATAGCGGGTCAATCCAGTATAAATATTACTCCTAATATTCATACCTATGTCAAGACTTGATAACTCCTTATCTATGATCCATGATATGTGATCATCAATCTATCTTCATAATAATCTTAATGCTTTAATGTTATCCCACTTCACATTAAATCTTGACTACGGATACTTTAAGAATAGTGTCTTATGTTTAATGGGATCTCATGATTAAGTCACACTTAACATTTCATTAAACAAATAAACCATTCTAGGGACTTTATTATTTTGGAAAGCAAACATAATAAAGAAATGCCTTTTATTATTAAATAAATAATTCGATACAAGTACCAAAAGTATTGGCCTCTAGGGCTTACACCAACAGTGAGAAGGAACCTGGATAGTAGGGTTACTTCGATATGAAAGCCTGGATAATAGGGCTGTGAGAAGGAACCTGGGTCGTAGGGTTACTTCGATATGAAAGCCTAGATAGTAGGGCTGTGAGAAGGAACCTGGATAGTAGGGTTACTTCGATATGAAAGCCTGGATAATAGGGCTGTGAGAAGGAACCTGGATAGTAGGGTTACTTCGATATGAAAGCCTGGATAGTAGGGCTGTAAGAAGGAACCTGGATAGTAGGGTTACTTCGATATGAAAGCCTGGATAGTAGGGCTGTGAGAAGGAACCTGGATAGTAGGGTTACTTCGATATGAAAGCCTGGATAGTAGGGAAGTGATAAGGAACATGGATAGTAGGGTTACTTCGATATGAAAGTCGGGATAGTAAGGCCGTGAGAAGGAACTTGGATCATAGGGTTACTTCAAAGTATGGATTAGTTAACCCGTTTGATTTCGAGAACTGAGTTTCCATTGGTCGTCTGTAGATGTGATCTGTATAACTGCTGAATTTGTTAAAGCTAATCCTCTTTTCCTGAAAAGATATCAGGGTTAGTTATATGCGATTGTAGCGATAAAAAATGTAGCGGGGTAAATCGGAGATCGAATTATTGATTAATTCGTCTCACAAAAGCAAGAGTCGCCACCGCGCTTTATTGTTTCCAAGGGAAAAGGGAAAAGAGCGAAATAAAACCCTAAATATGCAATGTAAATAATACTTTTTTAAAAGTAATAAAAGTACAAGGCATTTTTGAAAAGAGATCTATGGTTCGGGGGTTGGTTATACAATGGGAAGGTATTAGCACCCAATGTATCTATAGTACTCTATAGGAACCTTTTGAAATATCTGTTTATTAAAATTGTTCGTTTGATTAAAAATAAATTGTTTTGGCCAAAAAGGGGGTACGGACGGGTTTTTGAAGATACGACGACCTAATGTCGAAGTTTTGACTTAAAAGGTATGAGTTTTGAAAAAATTGAATATTTGGGAAAATTATCTTAAGTTTTTGATGAATGAGGGTATTCGCACGATGTTTTTTTTGATGACATGAAGTCGACAAAAAAATTAGACAATTCCCTTGGGTTGAAACGGATGAGAGATATACGGATTAACGATCAATTAATTAAAATTATAATTAAACGATTGACTAATGAAATTTAAATCATACTAGCATGCATCTTTAAAAATTAAATAAATAATAAAAAAGTACATGAAGATTAAATTAAGAAAACATAGATTTTTTGATAATTAAACACATGACAAAATTAAATCATGAAACATGTATTTTTGAATAATTAAATAAGCAACAACACAAAAATATAATAGAAGAAAAAAGTATGTTTTCAAAATTAAATAAAGGTGAAATTTTAATTAAATATTTTTATGTGTTTTTTTTTATACTAATTAATAATTTTACAGCAAAGTAGATTAATAATTGACTAAGTATATTAAATAATATGGCCAAAAGAAATAAAAGATAGATAAGTGACCCAACCAAGATTTGAACCCAGGACACTTAGCTTGCTAGTAATAGGCCTTGCCAATTAAACTGTTAACACTTTCTGTTATATCTACAACTCAAATAAATTAAAAGGAAAGGAACTAGAAAAAGCTAAGCCAAATGGGCCCAATGGGCCAACCGGGTTATGGATTAGGAGGAAAAAAAAAGAAACCCTAATACACCTTAAAACAAGCCGCCGCCGCTGCTTGTTGGAATTGGTCCAATTAATAATTATTTGTTCAATAAATTCAATTAAAGTAACAATTTGGAAAATATAACATAATACTCCCTCACTCGTGAAACTAAACACCATTCATTTTCAATGTCCTCTGATTTCTCTCTCTTTCTCACGCTAAACTCTCTCTGCTTCTTAAGTTTTCTCTCATCTCTCTTAACTCACTGATTTCTCATCACAAATAAACAATGATAACAATCATTCATCTCAGACATCACTCTTTTTTTTTTTTTTTAAATTTCTCATGATCAAAAAGCTTCAAATCAAACACACAACCATTCAAATACATCATTCATCACAAAAAGGTCAGAAGAAAAGGAATGATATACCGATCGACGATGACAAAGGGTGGCAGAGATGGAGAAATGGTGCAAAGTCGCAATGTAGAGAGGCCGCTCAGAGCTCATGTATAGATAGAGGGCTGTTCGGATCAGATCTGAATTCCTTCATCTCTTTTTTTTACCTGTAACCAGTATACAAAAAAACAACAACAATAATAATATGGTTCTTTCTTTCTATTTTGATTTTCACTGTTAATTTTGGTTTGGGAATCAAGGGGAGGTTTGGTATGTGATTTTTGCACGTTGTGGCTTTTTGAAGGTGGTAGCATGTTTGTTGAATTTGTATATGGTTTTTGCAGTAAAAGGAAGTCAGTATATGTATGAGTTTGAATTAAAGTTCTGTATGGTAAGGTTGAAAAGTTGGTATTGGAGAACTTGTTTGGAGTGTATAGCGGAAAAGTTTAGTGCAGAGAGTATGTACTGTGTGTGAAGAGTGGAAATTGTTTGTAGAAAATAGTTTATAGTGAAAAAGGTTGGTGAATGAAAATTGTCTGTGGAATTTGTCTCCGAGAAAATGTAAAATGTTTGTGTGAATGGAAAATTGACGGAGGGCAGAATATTGAAGGTGGTATGATGTGGGGGTATCTAAATGAAGATGAATATTGCAGTAATGATGATGATTGATGAATGTTGATGCTGTGTTGTTTTTTTATTTGTGGTATGTTTTCTGTATTTGAAGATACAGAGGTTAATTGGTTCTAAGATTGCTTCTCAAGGTTTCTTCCCCCTTCCTTTGAACAGTGGAGGTCAATGAGGTTTTTAGAGGCAGGGGTTGTGACATAGCAATTTTTTTTTACCGTTGGAATTGTTGTAGCAGCCAGACAATAGCAGGGCAAGCTTTGGAGTGTAGCAGGACTGATTTTCCAAATTCAAAAATATGGTTTTGGGACCACAATTTTATTGGACATAAAAATAAATAAACAAAGGCAATAGTAATAATAATGATAAAAGGTAATTCGTTAGTAATACAAAAATAGAATAATAATAATAATAATAATAATAATAATAATAAGATACAAATAAAATTAATTTAATTTTAATTTTGATATTAGATTAAAAGAAACTAAAACTATAATGACTAAAAATAATCAAAAAAACGTAAAATAAAGGAAAAAGATATTAACTACATTTTTGCGATTTTCTTTGGATTAAAGTTTATACTAAAACATGAATCTAAATGGAACCAATAAAACTATATTAATTTTTTTTTTTTTTTTTTGAATTAAGAACCGCGAATTTAAAATACTATAATGCTAATTATAAATATTTTTCGTGATTTTTTCTAATAATGCGTTTAAAAAAAATGACATGAACTAAAATACATATTTTTTTTAGATTTTTTTTAAATACTACAAAAAATGATAAATACAAGACGAAAAAGAATGTGCGATATGCACGATTTGGTAAAGGTTGGACAAGACATAATCAAATTTCATTAAATTCATAAAGCGACTTCTAACGTTTTCATTTTTCGTGGCATTTCAAAAAAATAATCAGCTCTTGACTTCTAAAGAAAAGTTGTAGTTGTAGTCAAGGAGAATCATGTGTAAAAGAACCACTAAAGAAATGTCGAAATTCGAAGAAGTTATGAATTTGAAATATGACCCGAGAAAATGGCAAAAATGGGTCGAAACGCTTGTGAACGCTTGCTATGTAATGACACAGATGGGAGGTGGGATCTTAGGTCGAAAATTGGGGTATGACAGCGATGCATGAAATTCATGGTGAGATGATGTTCTCAAAATAAATGAGATTATGTTGTATATGATATGTATGCGTATGTCATGATATATGTTTATGAAATGCTATCGAGGTATGCTCGCGTCTTGGGAAAATAAATCCCTGACAGTTGCTGGAGATTTGTAAATATTCTGTCGGAAAGGGATGCTGGAGAATACTCCGCGGGGACCACACTTAGGGGGAAGAGATACTCTGCTGATCTGGAGGAATAAACTCAGCTGGGGATGAAATTTCGTTGCTGGAGATGATGAGCTCTGTTGGAGATTGAGCTTCTGTATCTTGAGAAATAAACTCTGCTTGGGGATGAAATTTACTGACTCGCCCACGATTATGAACCTCGGCTGGGGGGAGTATGTCCTATTTCAATGCCTTCGAATACTCTTACTCTGTGGGGAGTGTATATTCCGATAATTATGTTCCCAAGCTGGCTCTATCCCGGTACCTGTTGGGCAAAGTAACTGTAGGGTTTGGCACTTCTTGTTTTTCCCTGTTTCTGGAATTACGAGTAACTGTCTTTTGTTTCTTATGTAAATATTTATGAGTGGCGATCATTTTCAAATGCATATATCAAAAATAAATTATTGGACATTCTTGCAAAACAAAACAGAAAAAAGAAAAAACAAATTGAAGTTTTGTGAAAATGACTTGTATTGATTTTGAAGTCGGCCTGTAATAGGCGTTTTGTACAAAGAGGTTGACGTTCTAGTAAGAGAACACCGCCGAAAGATAGAAATTATACATTTTGTGTAAAAGAAATAAAAATAGCTATGTGAAACGACCCCATTGGGTTCCAACTCTGCTATTGCCTTTATATCTTCAAGCGTCTCATCACTTTGCTACTTGGCCGAAGGTTGATCAGATTGGTTGGTGTCATCCGAGCTTGATAGTCGATACCGAAGTCTGGTCGCAAGATAATCCAATGAGACATAGTGATACGTTTCAATCCCTAACTTTTGCCTGGATTGCCCTTTCGGGTTTTCAATCCACCGGGATACCCTTTTTTGCCCAAGCCTCCCTTTCGGGTTTTCGACTAGCCAGGTGTACAGATTTTTTCATTTTCATCCCTTACTTTTGCCTGAACCCTTTTGGTTCGCCGGGAAGCCCTTATTTTTGCCTAGGCCAGTCGACCTAGTGGGTCTTTGATTATGCGTAGTATCTTTTAACTATGTCTGCATTGACAAGGTGAGGAAGGTCGTCACTGTCCATGGTAGTTAGAATCATAGCTCCTCCCGAGAAAATGTTCTTAACCACAAATGGCCCTTCGTATGTGGGGGTTCATTTGCCCCTGGGATCACCTTGCGGCAGTATGATGCGTTTGATCACTAGATCCCCGACTTGATATTCCTGGCGTCTGACTTTCTTGTTAAAAGCCTTGATCATTCGCTTTTGATACGTTTGACCATGACAGATAGCAGTAAGTCTCTTTTCATCGATTAGATTTAACTGATCAAGTCGGGTTTGGATCCATTCGTCTTCGTTCAAACCTGCATCCTTCATAATCTTGAGAGAGGGTATCTGGACTTCTATGGGTAGGACTGCCTCCATGCCATATACCAGAGAGTAGGGTGTTTCCCATGTCGACGTCCGTGCTGAGGTACGGTACCCATGAAGAGCGAATGGTAACATCTCATGGAAGTCTTTAAACGTCACCGTCATCTTTTGCACAATCTTCTTGATGTTTTTGTTAGCTGCTTCAACAGCCCCATTCATCTTCGGTCGGTAGGGAGAAGAATTATGGTTCTGTATCCTGAACTATTTAAAGAGCTCGGTGATCATTGTGTTGTTGAGATTCGTACCATTGTCAGTAATAATTCTCTCTGGCACACTGTATCAACATATCAGATTGTGTCAGATAAACCGCGCCACGACATTCTTGGTTACTGTAGCGAAGGAAGCTGTCTCAACCCACTTCGTGAAGTAATCAATGGCTACTAGGATGAAGCGATGTCCATTGGAAGCGGTGGGCCTGATTTCTCCAATCATGTCGATGCCCCACATTGCAAAGGGCCAAGGAGCCGTCAAGACATTCATAGGAACCAGAGGTACATGCACCTTATCAACATAGACTTGGCACTTATGACAGGTTCGAGAGTGCTGATAACAATCTGCCTCCATAGTGGACCAATAATATCCTGCCCGTAGGATCTTCTTAGCCATGGTATGTCCACTAGAATGGGTTCCGAAGGTGCCTTCATGTAGCTATGTCATGATCCTCTCTTCTTCGCTCTTGTCTACACACCGTAGTAGTGTGGAGTCATGGTTGCGTTTATAGAGGATTCCATTAATGAGGAAGAATTTTGTAGCGAACCTTCTCAGAAACTTCTTATCATTGACAGATGTCCTTTTGGGATACTCCCGAGCCTCGATGTACCTTTTAACTTTGTGAAACCAGGGTTTGTCTGCCACTTTTTCGGTATCGATTTCACAGCAGTGTGCTGGTTCATCCAACCTCTCAATGGTAATTTGGGGAGCTTCATTGTCCCACCTAACCTTGAACATAAAATACATGGTAGCTAGCGCGTCCGCCAACTGGTTCTCCTCTCGTGGGAAATGTTCAAAGGTTACATCCTCAAAGTGTGGGAGCAATGTCAGTACGTACTCTTTGTATGGAATAAGATTCGGGTGCTTCGTATCCCACTCGCCTTTGATCTGACTTATCACCATAGTGGAATCCCCGAATACACTTAAGAATTTAATCCTCAGGTCAATAAAAGCTCGAAGACCCATGATACATGCTTCATACTCCGCCATGTTGTTGGTGTAGTTGAAACATAATCGGGCAGTGAACAGAGTATGACAGCCCTCGGGAGATATGATTACAGCGCCAATGTTGTTACCCAGTGTGTTTGAGGCTCCATCAAAATACATAGACCATTGGGATCCTTCCTCAGGTCCTTCATCTGGTCCAGGTTCTTCGTAGTCAGTCACCAACATAATATTCTCATTCGGGAACTCAAAATTCATGGACTGGAAGTCATCCATGGCCTGATGAGCCAA